TATTATACGACCGAGCTATCCCACTGCTGGGAATATACCCAGAGGAATGAAATCATCAAGTCGAAGGTACACCTGTACTCCAGTGTTCATTGCAGCACTCTTTACTATAGCTAAGAGTTGGAACCAGCCCAAATGTCCATCATCAAATGATTGAATTTGGAAAATGTGGTATATCTACACAATGGAATACTACTCAGTTATAAGAAAGAATGAAATACTGCCATTAGAGCTAAGAGTTGGAACCAGCCCAAATGTCCATCATCAAATGATTGAATTTGGAAAATGTGGCATATCTACACAATGGAATACTACTCAGTTATAAGAAAGAATGAAATACTGCCATTAGCAACAACATGGATGGACTTAGAGAGAATTATATTAAGTGAAACAAGTCAGGCACAGAAAGAGAAATATCACATGTTCTCACTCATTTGTGGGAGCTAAAAATAAATAAATAAATACACAAACAAACAGGGGGCAGGGGACAGGAAGAAGACACAACAATCACAATTCCTTGAGGTTGTTAAGACAAACGAACAGATATGAAGTTGATGGGAAGGAGGGGGAAGGGAGGATTCAGTAAAGGGACACAAAAATCAATCACATTGTATATTGATAAAATAAAATTAAATTAAAAAAAATTAAACTTCAGGGTAAATGGTATGTAATTTTCAACAGCCTGTTTTAAAGAATACATAAAATCTACTATTTCATTTTGTAAATGTAATATTTTATCATCACAAATCCAAGGGAAAAACACGAAAATGTTGTCATTCTGTTTTTTTCCCAGGCACAGAATTTTTTTTTAAAGTTGCTGAAATGATCAGGTATAAAGTTTGAGGTCTTAGACTCTAACTTAAAGAGAAGCCAATTCTCCACTCCATGAGGAAATCTAGTGAGGAATAGAGTGGATACAAGTAAACAGTGTTGTAGATAGTTGGGGGGAAAAGCAGTTCAAAACTGAAAGAGGAGGTAGGATGAACAAACAGAGAATTAGCTAACAGAATAGAGGGAATCAGTGAAAGGAGAGGATAGGAGAAATGTATCTCAGAACAACATCAGGACAGAGTATCAGGACTTACTTCTAGCTAAAACATCTCTAGCCCACAGCCCTACACCTACACATACTGAGAACCAGCCCTTACCTTCAACTCACTCTGGTAAATTTTACCTATATTTGGTTATATGAGTTATGTTAATCTTTCCATTTGCTTTTTCCAGACAACATATGTCTACTTAAATTCAAGAACCAGTCCCCTCCCAGGAGCTAAAGAAACGATATCCAGGGGATCAGCCCAGGCCCTGGCCCTCAGGCTCAGAGGCAGCTTGTGTTAATGTGAAAAGCCGTTCTGCCCACACCCCCTTGTACTGGCACTATAACCTCAGTGTGGTGCTAATAAGCCTTACCTTTACTTTGTTTACTTTTTTAATTGCCCACTTAGTTTGTGTTTCCTTGTCTATAGCTTCAATGACCATTCCAAAGCTCCCCTGTCCCAATATTCTTGCAAAGGTATAGATTTCCTGGAGAAAAAATAAAAGTTCCTTCGTCTCTCACTGCCATTCATCAGGTATTAAAAAGGAACACATAACACTGACAGATATCTACCCAAGGGAAGAGAGATTCTGTTCTAGGGTAAAATCAAATACTCGCTTCAATATTAATAAATACACCTTAATTAACCAAAAATAAGAGTTGATGAATTTTATTAAATGTTTTTTGGAGGAAAACCATAAAAATCCTAATGGTGAAATATAGAAAAACTCAAAAATATAAAAATAAATCTCTTTCAAACTACGATATTAACAAAATATCTCCATAAGAAAAAGGAGAAATGAAATATTCATACATACATGTGTTTGTGTGTGTATGGAGATACACACACACACACACACACACACACACTCACCCAAAAAAGTATCCCAGAACTCTGACAGCTATATTAGCTGACCAGCACATATTAGACATTGAACAACTGCTTCCTTGTTTAACACGTAACATTTTTATCTTTATTACTTCTATTAAAAATCACTTTTGTTGTTTTATTCCTTTTGTTTTGGAATCAGCAACACGTGACAGAAACTTAAATATAAATCAACACTGAGAAGAAAATAAACACCACCCTAATACTACCATCCATGTGCTGGTCCCCATGTATGATGGGTTTATTATTTTATTATTATGTTTATTATTTTATTATTGTTTATTTTTTATTATGTTTATTATTTTGCACTGTGAACCAAGAATCCTTCTGCTTTTCTAACTTCTGCTTACAAAGAGAGAATGCGCTGGGTCTGCCAACACCAGCATTCTGGTTAACAGTGTAAAATAATAAACAGGTAATTCATTTATACTTTCACTTCTTATGAATTTGGTTTGCATAGGGGGAGTCAACATCAACTCAAGGGCATTAATGAGAGTTCCTGCACCCATCACGCATGGGGACCAGCACATGGGAGAATAACTGAGCTAAGGCCACTAGGTGAAGCCCCTGTTGGGTCAGCCAGCCAAAGCCTTCCCTAGACATGCCACTCTATTTCCCTGCATGACCATTTTCGACCTTCACCATGCCATAAGCAACTTAGCTGTTCATCTTCATATTTGCTATTGCTTACATTCCTTTCTTACTTTTGTAAGAGAAGATTCAATGTCCAACTAATTACCTCCTTCATGAAGGGCTTCCCCGCTTAACTCAGCATCGCGGTGATTGTTTACCATTATTACTCAACTTGTTTACAAACATACTGGCTCATTTTTCTCTTCTAAGATGGTCTAGAAGCTCCTTAAGCTTTTTTTAATCTTTTAAAAGACCTACCTCCTCCCTCTTTCCTAATACTAATTAATAGCAAGAATCAAAGTCAGAAAACTTAAATGAATAATTAGAAAATAAGACAAAACATAATTTTATTCTTATTATATTTATATGCAACTCCCAACTATATATTACATAAAGTGAGTTAAATCTCAATGAAAATGATCAGTTACCCATTTTTTCCCCATAGAACTAATAACCTGTTGATAACAATTTCTCCAATTTTTCTTGTCCTTTAAAAATTAAATTTTCATTTTCTCTCTAGATATATAGAACCACAATTTGGACACAGTATTTCAATACCGCTTACATACGATTTTAAGAAGGAGAAACGGGCAACTAGTTTTTTATAAACCAACCTTTTTCTTCAGCTGTTTTGATACCATCATATAGTAGTGAAAATAAGGAGAAAATGGCTTCTTATTTCTAATAATTTTGAGAGGATGCTATTAAAATGATAATGTAGATCTATTTTTATTGATGTAGAAGTCCATGATAGGGTGAGAAACATGCATGATATGATCCCATTATGAAAATGTGTGGATGTGGAGGTGCATAAATTGATGTCTGGAAAAATGTTCATCTAAATATTAAGAGTAGTAATCTATAGACAGTAGAATTATAATGACTGTAACATCCTTCTCTATACTTGCTGTGGATTGATTGAATTGTATCACCTAAAGTCCATATATTGGAAGCTTTATTCCCACTGTAACTGTTGAGAGTGGGAAATCCCACTATGGTGATTGAAAGGTGGGGCCTTGAAGAGGTGATTAGATTCTAGGACCATGCCTAGTGAATGGATTAATAATGGTGGTCACGGGTGTGGTTCTGAGGGCTTTAAAAGGAGAGCATGTGAGAGTCTCTCTCTGCTCTGCCATTATCTGCCATGTGAGACCCATGTATTGTTGTAAAGACACCATCAAAGAAGACCCTCACCAAATGTGTTCCCTGGACTTTGGACTTCCCAGTCTCTGAACTGTAAGCAATAAATTTCATTTTCTTTATAAATAACCCAGTTTCAGGTATTTATGTTATAAGCAATAGAGACAGACTAATACGTTACTCTTCTGAAATGTTCAAAGTATTTAGTATTTTATGGGTAAAGAGAAGTTTCAACTTCAACTATACCAGTTAAGGATATTTCTTTGAAATATGTATATATGTGAAATATTTTAAAATTTAAAACAGGACAAATTTTAAAGAAAAATAGAATAAAACTAGTACATGCATAGAAAAAAAATGAAGGTAATAAATGTTAAATTGATTATATCTGGCTGATGATTTTTATTTTCTTCACTTTCCTATCTATATTTTCCTAAGTTTTCACAATGAACACAGTTTGTTTTTATAAAAGTTCTTATGACTAAATTTAAAACTTAGTAAATTTGTGAGGTTTTTGTTAAGTACAGGCCTTTTATTTAAGGCGAGAGATTTAAACTTTTCAAATAAAAATTTCTCAGGAAGTTTTTCTGATTACTTTAAGTAAATTTCTGATCATTTTAAGTAAATTACCAAATATCTCCTAAAATGATTTTTTAAAGTTATTTAACATTAATGCAATTTTCTTTTTTTTTTTTTTTTTTGTCCTTTTTGTGACCGGCCACACCGCGCTCAGCCAGTGAGCGCATCGTGCCGGCCATCCGGATCCGAACCCGCGGCAGGAGCGCTGCTGCGCTCCTAGCGCCGCACTCTCCCGAGTGCGCCACGGGCTCGGCCCCACATTAATGCAATTTTCTTCTTGTAGTTGGTCCTGTTGCAGTTCCTTTAATCTGATGTTATAGGAACACATTTTAATTTAAAACTGTTCTAATATTTACTTCATATTTTTATATAATAATTCAAATTCTGGGAAGATTAATATTGGTATCTGTCCAACCAGAGGCTGGAAAAGATGGAGGGGTTCACAAGGGAGATTCTGGCCTCACTACCAGTCACCAAACAAGTGAACATCCAAACTATCTAAAATCATCTGGTCTCTCTCTGCATCTTGAAGAGGTCTACACAAAGACTCCTTCAGCAACAGACAAGATCTGAAGATCAAAATGTTCTCATTTTGTCTAATAAAAATGCCCTCCACTTTAATTAAAGTCCATTTGGTCCTCCATGAACAGAAAATAATTAGTCTGCATTTTCTTTAGTAAAAACTTTAACATATTTAGAAATGGCAAATTTTCTCTTTACTTACTTTCCTTAAAGCCTTATTTTAAAATCATTTTTACCATTAACTACTGACTTAGAAGAAACCTGAAAGTTCCTAGTAGCCTTGTTTTATTTTCCACATACCTCAATAGCAGCGCCGTTTTCCATCCTTATGTGAGGAACTTTCCCTTCTGTAAAGTTGCCCCGACCCCATTGTTGTTGAGATGATTTTCTCTCTACATTTGAGGTTCTTGAGGGCTTAGACCAGGAACAAGAAAAAAAAACAAACTTCAAAATATAAAATTCCTGTTGGCAAAAAACTCTAATTTAGATAATCTGATAAATCTTTGTATGCCACAATATTGACTGTGTACAAGATAGTTTACTGCCTTCTTCAAATTCTAGGCCCTATTTGATTCATTGGCTCATTAGGCTATGTGAAATGAAACCTTATGTCATTCAGTCCAATCCCTTGAATCCAGGCAAGTCTACATGATAACCTGCAGAGCAGATATATCAAAACTTACCGAATGATTCTTTAAAATCACCAAAGAAGGCAACTTCACAGCATTCTCAATCACCCGTTTCAAAATGCAACAATCATCTCAAATAGAGTTTACATACTGTCCCTTCACAAAATATGCTTTGAATGAAAATAACACAATAGTAACTCACTCAGAGACATAAATATGTCAGTAACTATACCAAAATGCAAATCAGAAATAATTGTTGAGGGTGAAAATGTGAAAAAGGACAACTTTGAGGGGTAGAAACCTGACTTCTTTGAAGCTCATTGCTGTTGTGAAAGTGTGCCATATCAACAACAATCTTCCACACTGACTCTTCTCTATAAAGATGAATACATCCAAACCAGCCCAGCTGGGTAGACTGTTTGTAAATAAGGCATAGATTGTTTGTAACTAAGGCAAATTGATTTTGTAAAGTATATTTGATATTCCATCTAGATAACCAGAAATTGTCCTATATAATAAAATCATAACCACCCTTTATTTAACCAGAACCATAAATCTCATTCTGCACCAGTTGAAGCAAATGCTCAATAATTCAGATTTAATTCAACTTGAAAACCAATCTGTTTCCATATAAACCATAAAAAAAAGAGCTGCCAGAATAACATTTCTACTTATTCAGGATTAGAAGAAATAATTAATTTGGATAGTGGTTGGAAATATCATAAAACAAGTTACTAACCAACTTTGCTCACCTCTTCTATGAGAAATAAATGTTCCTTTAATAGTTAAGAAGGCAATGAATTAGCTGACAAGGACTCGTGGGGGATGGAAGAAGCTAGGAATGGGATTAGGGAATAGGATGTCAACTTGTGCTGAGATGTACAATCTTCAATATTTACCAAATCTTTCCCAGAGGTAAACTCTCTGCTGCTATTTTTTTCTCTTTTTTTCTCTGGTGAAACTAAAAATTCTGCACTCTCAGCAGCACTTGATGTTTGTGACATTTCCACCACCAAAATCGGAGAAAGTTTTGCTTTACAGACACATACACAAAGTGTATCTTTCTCAGGAGCAGATGAACAGTTGGGGCATTTTGTGGATTTTTTATCCAAGTCATTATCAGCCATTTGCTTAACTCTGCAACAAAAGCAACTTGAAAGAAAAATATTTCCACTGTTTGAAGAAGAGGAGCAGACCAAAAAGAATAAGGTAGGTTGATGGTGGAAACTGTAATTTCCAACTGGTAATGTCTTTAGGTTAATGATGCACTAGACATATTCACACATGAGAGCTGCAGAAAGAAAAGAAATCACCATTTAGAAAATTCTTATCCTATTACCCTCCTAGAAATTAGAGAGAAACTAGCAACTAGCTCCAAAAGCATCCTGCATACATATGGAAAGTTAGTATTTATAATAAAATTGGACCACAAAACTGCATGGTCTAAAACAATGTCTTAAACTGCAGTACTGTGTTGTAAAACCAATTTGATGGGTTGATATCAATTTTTAAAAATAATACAGAATAGATAATATCAGAGTGCTTTGCATGTATCCTTGGTAAATTCTGTGATACTTTTCAGTTATACAGCTATATAAGTATAGAGAGAGTGGGGGGGGCTGTGTGTATGTGTGTGTGCGCGTGCGCGCACACTTGGTCACGGCACAAAATGAATTTTTTAATGTGGGTTGTGTAAAAAAGAAAAGGCTTAAAAATATTGGTGTAAAACATAAATTTCTGTGGTTTCAAAATTTAAACTGCAATCAATTTGCTATTAGAGCAAACTTCTACTACATACTTCATAAAGGAGTAATTTGATTTTATAAAACTATCTAATTCTAAAATTCAAAGGCAATATTTAAAAAACCCTTATTTTTGTACTCACATAGCAAAAATAGGAACAAGTGGGTGCTATTTTTCACCTGAGTCTAGAATAGGCATGCCAGCATTCTACCTATTAGGGTTACTGGCAGCAGTATGGTGGCAAGTTGGAAAGTTGAGGAGAAAGGGAGGAATGTGCTCTGCAGGACACATAAGGGAGTACCTTGAGAAATTTCCTGAAGTAACTGGAAGTACATTATTAGGGTTTTATGCCATATTATTTCAGACATTCTTTAAAAGTATATTTTGTAGCCATAGATTGATAGGGCTGGGGATATATGTAATATTAGGGTACATCAAAAAGTTTGTGGAAAGATTCATATTATCTTTTAATTCTATTTTTTCATGAATTTTTGAAGTACCCTCATACGCCTTTGTCTTTTGAACTGGAATAAGTGACTAAAATTGAGAGTTACATATCTTTATTTCATTAAAGAAATATCTTTCTAATCTTAGTTGTCTAAGGCTGGTTTTTTTAATCAGAAATGTGTGCTGACTTTTATCAGTTCCTTACCTACTGTGATTACCATATTTTTTCTTATTGGATCTTTTGATATGTTGCATTATTTTCAAAGCTTTCCTAATATTAAGTCATTCTTGAATATATAGAATGAACCCTATATGATCATGATAAATGATTATTTTAAGGCACTGAAACATTGGCATGTTTGTATTTTGAGTTTTCACAGTTATATTCATAAATTAAACTGATCTATAATTTTCCTTTTCAGCCATCTTTGTCAGGTTTTGAAACAAGATTCTGGCTAGCTTCATAAAATAAATTAGGTATCTTTCCATTCCTCAATGCTTGGTAACAACCTATATAGCATGGGAAACTACAGGAAAACCGGCCAGGCTTACAGGATTTTATGAAAGATATTGCTAGTAGCTTATCCAATATGTATTCTCCCATTTTTCCTTACTAACAGAATCCTGATTTTGTTTGGGGCAGCAATATGTTTATTAACATCCTACATTTCCTGGCCTCTCTTGCAGATTAGGGATAGCCATGGGACTTATGGCCATGAAGCTCAGAGAAGGCAGACAAAGCTGTACTTAAAAGAAAACTTATATTCTTAAACCTTTATTAAGATCAGAAAAAGAAATCACACTAAGTGAGCAGTCAAATAAAAAAAGAAACAAGGGCCGGCCCGGTGGCGCACTGGAGAGTGCGCCGCTTGAGAGCACGGTGGCGCTCCCACCGAGGGTTCGGATCCCATGTGGAGACCGGTTCCTGCTCACTGGTTGAGCGAGGTGCGGGCGCAACACCGAGGGTTGCGATCCCGTTGCCGGTCCCCGGTACGGGCGCGACACTGAGGGTTGGATCCCGTTACCGGTCAGTAAAAAAGACAAAAAGGAAAAAAAAAATTTAAGATGAACAGAAATGACTTGCCGGTCCCCGGTACGGGCGCGACACTGAGGGTTGGATCCCGTTACCGGTCAGTAAAAAAAGACAAAAAGGAAAAAAAAATTTAAGATGAACAGAAATGACAAAAAATTGAAAGTTTTGTTGAATTTTTCCTATAAGGCTCACAAAAAACTGACTCGTTACACCTCTCAGATTTCACATCTTACCACTCTCTCTTTCACCCTGGATAGCCTAGCCTAGGTGCTATTCCATGAATATGCCAAGCATACTCCCTTCTTAAGGCTTTTGCCCTTCTGCTTCCTCTGCCTAAGAACTTCGTCCCTCAGACATTTAAATGGCTGCTCCATCCTTCCTTGTGGTTTCTGCTCATTTGAGAGACCTTTCCTAACTACTTCACCTAAATCAGCAGGCCCATTCACTCTGTCTCCTTACCTTGCTTTATTTATTTATTTATTTATTTATTTATTTTCACTCAGAAAGTTTTATAGCAGAGTTCTCTCCTACTTTCAGTAAATGGTTGATTCCCATATAAACTTCAGAGAAAAGCCAAACCATCCTGTTCATTTTATTCAGTTAAAATAACCAAAATCTGACCATGGCAGTGTTCCCCAAAAAGGGGAAAGGGGTAGGGGGTAATACAGGCCAATCTCATTAGTGAATAGTTGCAAAATTCCTAAATGCTGTACTTGTATTTACCCCAAGCAATGTGTACAGCATATTCTAAAATTATTAGACAGAAATAATAGACAAGTCAGCCAAATAAGTATGACCTTTCATCAAAGTGATGGGGGAAAATCTGCTATGACTAAAACTCATAATGGCAAGCATGGGGAAAGGCACATAAAAAGTGCCCTCCAGACAGGCAGAGGGAGAAAGGAATGCAATGGATGCCACTAAACACACACACACACACATCTTACAAATGTTTAACCTTGTTTCTCAAGCATATGTAGCAAGACAAAAAAAAAACTTAGAATGTACCTGTATACACTTTGCAAAATGATTTAACTTCAGGCCTAGAAGAAAATGTTTTGCAGTTCTGTTTAAATATAAAGCCCATAACCATCAATGACTCAGAGCAGTGGAGTAGATCTGCAAATAACAGCTTTCTGTTTAGGAAAAATAGTGCTTTCTCTCTGCAACTCAGAAAAGTCCCTTGTCAGATATGTAAGGCATCATTTTATGCATGCATTAAGAATACAGATTTTATGGTACTTTTTATAAGCAGCTATAAGAAGTGTTCATAATGTGAAGGTTTATTTAAACTTCAGCTGAGTTCCTTCATTGTACTGCTTACCATATCCTTTAAGTTTTACAAAATATATATACATTCACAAGTTTCCAATAGAATCTTTAAATATTAAATTTCTCATTTTTAAAATGAATTATTTGGGGATCTAAAACAGTTATTATTTTCTAAGCTTTGTTCAGAAAAAGCATTTCCTTTAATCTTTTATCAATTTCTCAATAAATCATTATCACAATATCACTGACATTGTCATAGACTTCTGAGTACTTTCTTGTTCTAGTTTTCCAATTTACCGGTTGCCTTAGAAGTATTTGGTAGGTATATTCAAAGAGCATAGGAGTTTCTATTACTCATTGAAGAATTTCATTTCTGCCCTCCAGCCTACCAACCACTACATTTGCCAAAGTAAGGTTCTACTTTCTTACCACAACGATTCTAAAATAATAGGCTGGATAGCTACACATGAAATTTCTTGACAAGAATTAGATTTCAAATTTAACTTCTTTTTGGCTGACCGAATTCTAATTATTTTAGCTTAAACAAAAACCAAAATAGAACAAATGTTTACTCACATTTATTTCTTTCTTATTTATGAATTGATTTGAAAGATGTTACTAAAATAAATCTACTATCTAACAGGCCAAATGATGTCATTCATATTTTAGAGGCATAAAATTAATCAAGTATTGTAAACCTATTTTTATGCAAACACAAAGATTAATAGCTCTTCTTCTATAGAATCATGAACTTATGTTTAAACGGGACTTTAGATATAAAAAGATGTATTAGAAAACCAAAGAAGCTCCTAATATAATAGTGTTTCTTTGTGTCCCCAAAGACTGGACATACATAGGTATAAGAAATAATGTAGGGCTGGCCCGTGGCTCACTCGGGAGAGTGCGGTGCTGTTAACACCAAGGCCATGGGTTCGGATCCTATATAGGGATGGCCGGTTGGCTCACTAGCTGAGTGTGGTGTTGACAACACCAAGCCAAGGGTTGAGATCCCCTTACCGGTCATCCTTTAAAAAAAAAAAAAAGAAAGAAAGAATGTAAGCAAATAAAAAGTTCAAATCATGTCAGTATTTAACTAGTGCATGAGCTTTCCCTTGGTTAAAGGTTTTCATTTTATTTTCAGAACTAAGGCAAGTCAATGGAACAACTCTGATACTGAAAATCTCTGAGCTTTTATTTAATCATAAAAAGGTCTCTCATATATTGGCCCTAGAAGATACACTTACAGCAATTTCCTCAAGAAAATGAACACAAGAATGGTTTTATGAGATATAACTAGCTACAATTTTCTTCCCCAAAAGCAATTTTTTAGTCTTCTTTGCCAGGACTATGTGTACAAGGAACCTACAGTCAGCTAATTCAGTCAAAAATGTGTTCTATTCTAGTAAAGAAAGAAAACTTGGTCTTACATTATGCAGGCCAAGCTGAAAGACTGAATTTTCACTTTTCAACTGTGTATTTTTATAACATGTTTACAAAACCTGAAGAGGGGCTAAATGAGTTTCCTACATCAGATTCTTTTACGTTAAAAAAGAACAGCATTTGTTTACTATTTCCATTAAGGGCATGCATGATTAGGGAAATGAGTCTGTATTGCCTAATCATGAGCCAATA